CCAGTGAAGAACAAAAAAGGCTTTTTAAAGATTTGGTCGCGAGTTGTTTGCTCATGGATAACGTGGCTAAAATCGATACATTTTGTGTTAATTTGATAATGTCACCGTATTACAATGAAGAGACAAGGCAAATCTTATGAAAAGTTGATAAAGCACTGTAGTAGGTACGCCGGAGGAAATAAAATTCGGTAAAGTGTTATATGGGAAACTTCCCAGAAACGGAAACTTGTACTGAGAATATGAAAAGCAGTGGTATTCACAAAAACAGCCCGTTCTATGTCCATTTAAAAAAAATCCAACTTGAAGGTTCCTCTCAAATTGACTGTGCAAAATCCATTGTCGACAGGTTTTTTTATTAAAACATTAATCTGGTTTACAAAAGGTTAGCAATGCACCTGTAGGGAATTTTTTTGGGTTCTCAAGAATCATATTAAGTGGACAAAGAAATCTGAATTGCAGTCGAGTGGTAAGAGAATTGAGAGACAACGTCTTGGTTATATTTAAGAAATCTTATAGCGAGTAAATCAAATCCCATTTAACAAATAACAGAACTAGATGTTTCAAGAATCGTGATCTAAAAAAAAGAAATTCAACGAATACTAATTTCCTCGGCCGTTTTATGAAGGGACTAAATTTTGATAAAAACAAAGATAAAACGTGCTTAGAAAAATCTATTGATACCACTAAGTACTGTGATGTTCTCAAATGCAATTATTGCGGAAAGGGACCTTAACTAGATATAACAACTGACTGGGAACAATGTGACTCGTGTGATGAGTACGTACATCAAAGATGTATTAGTAACAACAACCAGTCCTTTAGCGGAGAATTCATTTGTAAGCTGTGTTATTTTACTAATCCGAAGCCTAAGACTAGTAAATATAATGATTTGTTAAGTGATCTATGCCGTCAATATTTGAAGGATATTAACGAGAAAAGAAATAAGAGATTTAATTGAAGAAATCACTAAATTAGTATATGAAATGCTTATCGAGAAAATTGTTGAAACAGTCGCCATACAACGGAATAGACAACGAGAAAAATGGTGTAAGGGAGTACGAGAAAATTACTAATACGAAATGTAGGACTGCAGGTTTAATAATAATTCATGGACAAATACCATTCTCAACAGCATCACGGGATCGGTTGATTAGTGATGATGGATTATTAGTAAAATGCCTATAATAAACGATACTACCACCGCAATCAGGCGAATCTTGCTTACTTGGACGAAAACAGTAATTTAAACTTACAAGGATTTATCTATAAAAAGGACAACAAGAAATACGCGCTTTTGGAAATAAAATTACAGGACTTTTATCTTTTTCATGTCTTGCCCAATATAGTAAACTCTGGAAGTTAACTATAGCGAAAATCAACTTAAGTGTACCACCTTACAAGAGATAGAACTGCTAGAGAAGAATCTAGTAAATGATATGCTATTATAAAAATGCTTCAAATCATCATACCTACTGTTGCTGATATACCCTGATCATCACGAGGTTTTTATCTTTCTGAAACTTCTTGGCTAACCAATTTCATTGTTGGAATTTGCCTCGCTTTAATTGATGAAAACTGAGAATATCGAATTGTGCGAGAATACGTCCCATCGGTAATTTTTTCGAAGGTACACAATTATCCAATAATAAAATCCTTCAGATTTGAAAAAAAAATACGTTGTTATGCCCTTATTAGTAGAGGTAAACCATTTTTGTAATGAATTCAATTATTTTGAGATAAAGAAGTTCCGTTTTATTGATCCCTTGAAATCTACTTACAGTAGATAAAAGTAATGAATATTTAAAAGGAATTTTTATATTTTTGGAGTATTACAATCGAGAAACGGCAATAAAGGTAAATAATGACACGTTAGACAAACTGACGGATATACCACAATGTGCATCCATCGCACTTCGAGAAATCGTTCTTCTGCTAAGATACCGAACCTGTAGTTCGTACCTTTCTTCTCTTGACGTTATCAACCAAAATTAAATTTAATGAGATACATCTGGAAACGCCCAGTATTTTAGCAGCATAACGCTACTATCTTCTTCTAAAGACCACTATCCTGGCGCATCAGTTGGCGAAACAAATTTTAATGAATAATTAGCAGAGAATATTTGACATTTAACAATAATGCTTAAATTTTAAAAGCAATTACATTTTCTTTTGTAAAGTTATTACTCGTTTAGAATAGAGAAACACGAAGTATAATACATTAAATTCAGTATCAACAAGGGACTAATATTTATAAAAAAGAGTGAATAACTGTATGTCTCTCACTTCTACAAAGCAGACTGTGGTAGTATTAACAACTTTTAAGTGCTTACTTTTCTTATTTGTTAAACTTCGCGTGTTCTGTTGGTTGCATAACCTAAAATATTATTATATGTTACATTTGCTGCAGGCTGTATTTAAAATCCTGTCTTCTTAAGAGAATTATATTTCATAATTAATAACATAGTTCATAGTCATATCCGCAAAAAATTACGTAATGTAAATATCAAACAATTTGCGGGGTGCCCTAGTGCTATTCTGAAAAAAATCGGGAAAAATATAGAATTAAAAATAATGGCACTGTGCTTGAACTTAAAAAAAAGTGATACCACATTTATTTAAATATTGCTCGACTTGGATTATAAGGAAAAGAGAATATTCTATTTTGTTCAAAAAGTTATTTTAAAATTATATTATCTTATTATCAAGCACACATACATTCAGAATAAATGTATGAGAAATTTTTATTCAAAGATTCATAAGAGTACAAAACCCGTGCAATTATTATCTATCATCGTAAATACTATCATAAATCAAAATATCATAATAAATAATGCTTAAGAATTTTGATTTTATTATTAGCGATATTATTAAATCTAAGATTATATTATATAGACCGTATTATATTTTTTATTAATAGGAAGATGATGCGACCCATTTGCTAATAATATGCGGAATAATTTGCTAGTTTTTCCTTTAACTTTATTTTTGTGATGTGAACTCCTATTCCTCCATCACTGGAATTCTCAACTTTAATCAAACTAATACTTGAACTGAAGTGAACTGAACTCAAATTTTAAAGCATATCGACTTTAACAAAAGAAACTGCCTACTTTTCACTGGTTTAATAAGAAACAAACTAATAATGATAATAATAATATATGATATGTTATATACCTATTTTAATGCAATAAAATATTATTTAAAGGTTTTCCTCAAATTTGAATTACCTAAACTACACCTTCAAACATCTTATGCATCTCAAAAGCGAAGAGTCTGTCATTAAAATTTGATCAAACATTTTAGTTACACCTTGTATATCTTAATAAGGTGTATTCTGTTCTTTGGAATGTTTACTATTAAACCCTAGTTATCTTTTATCTAAAAGCAGTAATAATATGAAAACTAATTAAAAGTCCAAGTTTTAATTAATTAATTTCGTTCTTTTTTTTCTACTAATTGTTTAATTACTGAACTAGACTAGGCGGTATCAGTTTTGGTTTGGGTGAATCGTATATTCAACGGAGATTTTTGGCTTTTCAAATATCACTAGAAATGAAAATTTTTCTATGCGCATAAAAAAACGTGGGCTTAACTTTTGGCGGCACAATATGTTAAAAAAATTCGAAAAATATCATATTTTTCTTCCTATTTAATTATGTATCTTTTCAAGAGTTGATTTTAGTCGAAAATGGAAGAAGAAAAAATTTTTATAATTCAATTTTTTACAAAATATGACTAGTTACAAATTGATCCAAAAGAACGTATCGAAAAAGAAAGATTTCAAAAAGTTGAAACTAAATTGCTCTTTACAACTAACGAAGTAGAATGTGCAAAACAGCGTTATAAATAAATTATTATAAAATAAAAAAAAATCATGATGGAGCAGTTCTCGAGATATGAGACCTAACGAATTTGAAACGTTCAAGTCAAAGTTCCATGGGCAGCGAGAGCGGAACTCACACGCGCTCTTTCTTGCGCAAATGCCATTCATTAACGTTAACTCTTACTGCCGCTAGCACAGTTGTTACATGAACTATCAATGTAAAACTTTTATAAACTAAAAGTTTAACCCTTTTTTTTAATTATCTCTAAAATCCCGATCCAATATGTCCAATAGTTAATTTAAAATTAACGTTATAAAAAGCCATCTTGGGAACAAAGACATATGGTAAATTACCGTAAAAATAAGCATTATTTAATACAAAAAGAGCGAATTCCCGAGCGGCTTTGGCCTTACTGTTTTGCACGTCCTACTTTGTTAGTTGTAAAAAACAGCTTAATTTCAACTTTTTGAAATTTTTCTTTTTCGAAACGTTTCTTTGGATCAATTAGAACCTACATCTACGACATTAATATCTAAAATTATCGTTTAGTAATTAAACAATTAGTTGCAAAAAACGAACGAAATTAGTTAACAAATACCTGGAGCAACAATTTCACTGTCAATCGAATTAGCCTTTGACACACATGTTGGTCTTTGTTTTGACCGTCTTTTCCATAAATTTCATCAACATCCATCGCATTTTGCAATAATAATGAGCAATTTTCGAAAACTGATTTTTCCGCGTTGAACCTTATTGCATTATTTTACAGTAAACAAATTGGTGAAATATGATGATAGGTCGTCCAAATTTTCATAGGCAAAAGTGAAAAACCACGTAATTTTGCTACTTATTTGTAATGTGCCAACTTAGCGTCATTTCTTTCGAGTAAGTTTTTTTTTATGTCTACATACTCTTCACAGCCATAAAGTGCTATAAAACGTCTACTGCTATTTTTTTTAAGTTTTCACGATTTATGGTCTAATTGGACTGAACTTATAGTGAACATAACAAAAATATGTTAAGTACAAATTATAAATCGAATATTTTAAGCTAAAGTTGTTAGTGCAGTAAACAAATATGCTATCTTTTATCTTATCAAAATATATCTATATGTCAAACATGATAAAAGTATTATATAATGAATCTCCACTTAATTGCGGTTTTCAATGCATTAGATTTATGTTTCTCAATACAATGACTGAGCTCTTCGACAGTGTTCTAAAAAATTCTGATATGTGCAACGACAAAATAAATGAGTAAGGAAATAAAATATATTACACTTTTCTACTGTTTGTTAATATTTTATTCTTATTTTAGATATACTTTTCAAGATATTTGTAAAATAAAAGACTTTTTAGCCAGGGAAGTAGATCTAGTTCCAAAAATCGGAATAATCTGCGGAACAGGTTTAGGTACTATTATACCATTATTAAATTATTATTATAACAAGTGTATAAAATTTCGGAACATGCATAAAATTGTTTTTGTGTAGACAAAATAATAATTATGTATTTTAATATTTTGTGTGGTTGTACTTGTGTTCTAATTTTATTGTCAAAAATAGAAAAAATATACAGGGTGGGCCACCAGTAACGCCTCGGTCGCTAGTGACCAAACGGCAAATGTTACAGAAACCTGTTTAGGTGGGTATGTGTAGGTTGATTATGGCTACATTTTAAAAATATTTTGAAATATGCAGGGTGTCCAGGAAAAGCGTACCATATCAAAGTTATGTATTTTAAATGGAACACCCTGTATTAATGCATTTTTGAAAGCACCTTAAAAAAATAAGTGAACTTTATTAAAGGTTCTACATACCTAGGACCTACTGTTTGTGAGATATTTCAATTTTAGTGAAAATGCATGCTTCGCGTAGAAATTTAATATTAGCAATAAAAAAATAATTTTAAGGAAGCAGCTTTGGAGGGTCTATTTTAGATCCTTGAAGTTATAAATTGTTATATTTGTCTTCACTTAGTATTATACAGGGTGTTCAAAAAACTGCTGAATACTTCTCTCAACTTTAAGCAGCAATAACTTGGTTATTTTAAATGGGACACCCAGTATATTTTTACTTTGGAAGTTAGGAAATTTAAAACTCTTTCAAACTGTGTATAGGTTCCCTATACCTATCTCTAACGGTATTGGAGATATTTGTGCCGTTTCGTTTTTTATCGATTTTTTTTGTAAGATGTATCCACGTGTCTTTATCGAGGTCTTTACTGAATTGGTTTGGGTTCTTCTTGATGACGTCTCTTTAAATATATTGAGAAAAATGAGGATGCAATTAGATGGCGCACCTGCAAATTTTTCATATTCAGTGAGAAATTATTTAAATCGAAAATTTAGTAATAAATGGATAAGTAGGAATGGTGCATGTCAGTGGCCACGTAGGTGTCCAGACCTCACCGTAATGGACTTCTTTGTTGCGAGCTATATAAAAAATCTTGTATACAATGTTCCACCTATTACTTGCGATGATATTGGAGGGAAGGATTAGAGATGCATTTGCGTGAGAATATCATTTGAAGATAGAATAAGATGCTGTATTCAGGAGAATGGTTATCAATTCGAACATCAATTAAAATTTTTCTTTGTTTTTTCTAAAAGTAAAAGTTCCTTTTATCATTATCATGAAAATATTCAAAAAAGTTTTCTAATAAAAAATATTATTTTATAAGCAGAATAATTATAAAAAGTTATTAATTTTGTATAAATATGTTTGTAGTAAGTAACTGAATTATTTATGAACATGAAAAATATTTATTAAAGAAAATTTTACTTTTAGAAGAAACAAAGAAAAATTTTAATAGATGTTCGAATTGATAACTATTCTCTTGAATACATCTTATTCTATCTTCAAATGATATTCTCACATTCCTTAGATAAGAATATTTGTGGTGATTGTGGTAAATGCATCTCTAATCCGTCCCTTCATATCATCGCAAGTAGTAGGTGGAACACTGTGTACAAGATTTTTTATATAGTCCGAAACAAAGAATCCATTACGGGAGGTTTGAACACCTAGGTAGCCACTAACATGGACCCATTCCTACCTATTCATTTATTACTCAATTTTCGTTTTATATAAGTTCTCACTGAATATGGAAAAATGTCATCAAGAAGAACCCAAATTAATTCAATAAAGACCTCGATAAAGACACGTAGATACATCTTCAAAAAAATTCTATTAAAAACGAAACGGCACAATATCTCCAATTTCGTTAGAGATAGTACTTTTTATTTTGCCAAAAATTAAGTGTTCAGTATTTTACAATTTTTTTGTTAATAAAAAACTTATCGACATCCGGGCAAACTTCTACCCAAAAAATTCGTGTTCTGCAGCTCAAAATACATAAAAAAAACNCAGTATTTTGCAAGTTTTTTGTTAATAAAAAACTTATCGACATCCGGGCAAACTTCTACCCAAAAAATTCGTGTTCTGCAGCTCAAAATACATAAAAAACACTTGGGTAACTCCATCTAAATGAAGGAGGCAATTGGGACCCCTCTGGCTACATTACTATATAGAAGTATTTAAGAACAGCCAACACGTGTTTCGTAAAATAGATACACTAATGTGCTTAGAGCTTAAAAAAACGATACAAAAGAATATTGCTAAATTTAAAGTAAATATTAAACATTAGCTGTGTTAATCCTAATGCGCATGCTCGGAAATAATAGCCTCATACGCAGGTGAGATCTTGTTAATATGTATCGCTGACATCATTAGCGTATTTTCTTTTCTTTTGTTTAATCTTGGCATTTTCTAGTTCCACTAAGTATTTTTATTGTTTTTCTTGGTGTTGTGCTGTGTCAGTGTGTTTAACGACTGTTTTTCAAGTGTGTTAAGCTAAACCATTTTATCTGTTTACTATCCACATTTCAGGTTCATTGGCCGAGACGATTACTAAGGCAGTTATAATCGATTACAAGGATATTCCAAATTTTCCAATGAGTACAGTTGAAGGTCACAAAGGTAAATTAATATTTGGATATATAAATGATGTACCTGTAATCTGTATGCAGGGACGATTTCACTACTACGAAGGATATTCCCTAGCACAATGCGTTATGCCTATCCGTCTGATGAAACTTTTTGGAATCACACATTTAATTGCATCCAACGCTGCTGGAGGTTTAAACCCAAATTTCAAGGTAGGCGATATAATGCTACAAAAGGATCACTTAAATATTATGGGATTTTCTGGAAATAATCCCTTAAGGGGTCCAAACGATACCAATTTCGGTCCGAGGTTTTTTGCCATGACTAATGCATATGATCCTACTATATTAGAAGGTGTTAAGGATATAGTAAAACAATTAGGTTTAGAACAGATTGTTCAAGAAGGAGTTTACACCTGCATGGGAGGACCAAATTATGAAACTACAGCAGAATTAAGAGCTTTAAAAATTTTAGGAGTTGACGCTGTTGGAATGTCCACTGTTCATGAAGTTACTGCAGCAAGGCATTGTGGTATAAAATGTTTTGCTTTTAGTTTAATAACAAATATCTGTAGTACAGAGTATGGCGTTGGAACTGAAGCCAATTGTGAAGAAGTCCTTGAGGTGGGAAAATCGAAAGAAAAAATTCTGAAAATTTTAGTTACGAACATTGTTAGTTACATAGGGAATCAAGACTAATGTGTTTTGTAGTTAGTATATACAAGTAACAACCAAATCATAAATTTTGGAGAACAAAATTTAGTGCTAATTGTGATATTTATTTTTTATGTTAAAATAAATAAAGTTTTAAGTAGATTTTCAAAAGTTTGTGTACTTAGGGTGGCTTTAGCTGAATAAGTATTTGCTCGTGATATTAAAATTTTTTGAAAATAACGAAAATATAATCACCAAAGTAAAGTTTTCAAGTTAACGGACAGTGCAGTCAACAGCGGTATATTCCTTGGAATGCTTAATTCCTGTCATCAAAATATGGAAATTAATGCTAAAAGTTTCATTAACGGCTCCAATTTAAAACACAATTTGGCAAAATCAATATAAAGAAGAATGTTTTATCTTTCAACGCATTTCGTACGTGAACCCTATCCTATAGCAGTTACCTTTTCCACAGTTGAAATCCTCTCAAAAAACTGTGCTTTACATCTTACATTTGAAGAAATACAAAGCCCTTTATTGGTAACCAGAAAAGTGTGTCCTTTTTTATGTATTTTCGGGAAAGAAATTAGTAGGTACTGAACTATGTAAAGATTGTCATAAAGTTACTACTAAAGCTTTTATGGGTCCTGTTAACAATTTTGTTAAAGTTTATATTCAGAGAGTCCCATCGGGAACTGCGTCGATAGATATTTAGGAAAGTACATATCCGAAAATTTTGATAATTTGAAAACATGGCAAAGTCCCTGGGGTGAACACAACTAAAGTATCTAGAACTATCCAAAACTTCCGGTTGTACCGGAAGTTGACACCAACTTTGTTATTTTAAATGGAACACAATTTTTTTCTTTATTTTTTATACTTGTATTTACTGCAAAATATCAATGTATTCTCAATGTACGTACTCAAATGGTGTACTGAAAAGCAAGTATAGTTTCTGCTATAAAAAATTTTATTACCTTCATGTGCCGAAAAATGTTGAAAATTTTGATATCTAAAGTCCAGTGGAGGGATTTTTGTCCAAATTTTTTGAAAATTAGATTCAACCTTGTGCTCTATGTTGTGGAATGGCACTTGTGTGATGTTTTTCATCTCTGTACAGATTGTCTCAAACTCGATAGTATGGGCCTAGTGAGGATACAAAAAATTTAACTAAAATTTGGGACACATGGTGTTAAATGAGATGAGATAAGCTCCATTTTCAATCGAAAGTATTATCTTTGGGACTTGACTGGCACGACTAATGATGTCATCAATTATATTTTTTCCAGAAACACACCCAAACTTTTTTCCTGTTAAAAAGCTTCCTTTTTTTCTAATAAACTTTTATTTGAGAAATGTTTCTGTATTACTTCCCGTTTAAAAGTTATAAGCAATGTCGTTCTAAAGAGTCTCAAAAGAAATACCACCTAAAAATCACATTAGCGGTGGAAGGATCAAGTACCAGTCGTTGGAAAATAATTGAATGTTCGTTTTGCATATATATCATTAAGAATAAATAAAGGGATTAAACTGGATAATTCGTTAATACAGTTAAAACAAAAGGCGATGATAACAATAACTAAATTTAAAAAATGAGGCAAAGCTTTCATATTACATACATATTACAATCTATTCTTAATATGACTTCTCATTTCAAGACATATCAAATCTTTGCCTGACTTCTTTATGGGCTGCGTTTTTTAACATTTCGCTATTTAACCGTTACAAGCGTTTGTGATTTTTTCTTTCAATGATTAATATCTCGCGAAGGTGTTTTGTAAAGCTTCGAGGGGTGTTAGATCTGGTGACTTTCCGGGCCATTGAATAGGTCCATTAAGCCCAATCCACTTTTCTGGGAAATTGTTATCTAAATATTGCTGCACAATCCTGGCCTTGTGGGGTGGAGCCCCGTCGTGCTGTAGCCATAGCTCTTTAGCTGCAAAGGCACATTCTCCAGAAGTGCGGGAAGTTCTTCTTGTAGGAAATTTAGGTAACTCACGCTGTTCAATATATGTTCATAAAAATAAGGCCAAATTAAATGCCTACTGATGATGCCGCATCATACATTTACTCCAAAATGGCCTTGGTTTTGGTCTGTTATTACAATGTGGAGATTTTCAATGGACAAGTAGTGTTTGTTGCACCTGTTTGGCAAGCCATTACTGACAAACCGACTTTCGTCCATCCAAAGAACGTGTCGAAAAAGGTTCTGATCAACAGTTTCTACATTTACTACATTTTGAGTCTGTTTTCAATGTGACGCTCAGGCAAATACCCCAAATTGTGAATTTTGTAGTCATGATACCGATTGGTCTTTTAAATTCGTTGAACGGCTGACTTATCCAAAGTCAATTCCCGGCTAGCCTGCCGTATAGAATTTCGTGGATTTTGTTCGAAATACTGTAACAGTCTAGCTGTATTAACATTGATTGTTACCCTTCGGTCAATTTGATTTTTCCGAACAGAATCTTCATTTCATCACAATGTCGTCTCCAATCTTGTAAAGGTTCTATATTATCAGGAATGAAGCGTTCTGGATACATTTTTCGATATACTTAACTCTACAGCTCTTCCTGAATTTTTTTTGTGACGCCATAAATTGACATATCAACTTTTTCTGAATGAGAAAACATTTTGTAAGCACAAAAGTTATACGTTTGACGTTCGTATTAAGTAATGACAGGTATTTTGTGATATTTATGCACTTAAAACAAGGAACATTCAATTATTTTCCAACGACTACTTGATCCTTCCACCACTAATGTGATTTTTAGGTGGTATTTCTTTTGAGACTCTTTGGGTTGATATTGCTTATAACTTTTAAACGGGAAGTAATACAGAAAACTTTGTCTAATAAAAATTTATTAGAAAAAAGAAAGCTTTTTAACAGGAAAACAATTTGGGTATGTTTCTGGAAAAAATATAATTGATGACTTCATTAGTTGTTTCTGTCAAATCCCAAAGATAATACTTTCTTTTGAAAATGGAGCTTACCTCATCCCATTTAACACCACGTGTCCCAAATTTTATTTAAATTTTTTGTATCCTCACAGTAGGCCCATACTATCGAGTTTGAGACACCCTGTACAAAATGTCCAATAATTTTTATTTACAAAATAGGTAACTTTTTGTATACATCGATAGTTGTCAAAATTACTATTTAAATTTTAATTCAAAATAAACTTTATTATTTTACATGTGCATGTATTATTTTAGCTCATTTTAATCATATGCATGTACCTAACATTTGTATAGATTTAATTTCTGGGTATTAAATTCTGTCACATATTCTAGTTTTTTTAAATAAACACTACATAACCTGAATTATTAAACGAGTTATACCTATAGTTTAACAATTTATTATGACAATAAGAAAACACTGGATGTTTTGTAATTTTTTGTTACATTTAGAATAAAGTTAATACCAACACCAAAACAAAATTGTTTTAAGAAGCCTTTCTTGCCATAGATTATACATCGTACCACAGAATCATTATACAGGCGTATTCGGAATCAAGAGCATTGGGAACAAGATGAAATTGTTTATACAGAGCCTTCATAAATGTTTACAAGCCACGTGACCAGTAATTTTGTTTGGAACAGTAATTTTATTTCCTCACGTTAGCAAATAAAGTTCGGTAAAATTAAAAATCACCAAAACAGGAACATCAAGATTACGTTAAAACATTTCGTTTTACTGACTAGTGATTGGTGTAATTTTTCACGATATTTTATCCAACCAATCAGCGATCGGATTATCTCGAGTGTAGACGCAATGGTTTGTTACTGTTTATTGTAAACGAATCATTATGACCGATGACGTTAAATTGACATATGTATGTGCATTTTTCAGTAGCACCCGTCGTCCGTGTCTGTTTGTTATCATTTTCATTCATTTTCTACCACAATTTTATTGTTTCCTATTTGCTGCATTTAAGCAGTACATATTTCACGGCTAAACTTGTTTGATAATTAGTCGGATTGCTGTTGTAACATAAATAAAATTTTGAGGTTAATATTATTTTTATTTCAGGACGCATTACCCCTTTTACTCCAGAAGATAATTTTACAGTAATGGCTCATTTTCAGTGGGAAACTCGCATTGAAAATTACTCATACACTTTGCAATCTTGCATTGAGCAATTTATGAGGGAATTTCCAGGCGCAAGCATTAACTATGACACTTTCTTAAATCGGAAGTGTGATATTGTCAAAAAATTTGAAACTCTGCGTTTGCAAATGAAAATCTAGGAACAGATCAATTAATTGTACCTATAAAAAATAGCACAGGATGTATTTAAATGAAGGAGCACAAATGATACCAGAGATTCCTTAGGTGAAATAAGTTTATTTAGCCTAACAAGCCTATATCCCAAGTCACATAATAAAGAAGATACAGGGTGTCAAAGTGAAAAACAAAAAATGGTTTTTCTTTAATAATTTCTTAAGTTTTAGTCAGACATGTTTTAAATTTTCTATCGAGAAACTTTTTCAGGGTGGAAAAAATAATATAGGTAATAATCATTTTTGGCTGTCGCGTGTGGGGCGCCCTTTGCAGGCAATATTGTGCATTAAATATGTATTAACTTTTTGTCTGCCCTCGTATGCAGCTTTTAGTTAAAAAACATGAAATATTGGTCTTTTTTAACAAACATTTATTGAAAATGGTTAAAGTCTGTTGAACTGTTGGGGAGATATTTTTAATTTTATAAATTAGTATTTCAGATTTAATACCTCCACGAATACCAAGGTACAAAGAGACACTTTTGTTAATAAATTCAGAACTCATTGCCTCACAGCGTTTATACTTAATACGGATATTTATGTATCGGTAACAAATATTTTAAATTAATAGTGTCTATTAATAAGCAATATACTTGTAACTTCCATAAAAAAATGCATTTCCTGACGGATGAAGATGTTTCAACCCTGCACTGAAGAAATCTGTTTTACGAAAATAACAGGAAAATAATAATTGTTAATACATAGGTATTTGAAGAAAAGTACAAAACTAGAAAAACCAAGAGTCACCTAAAACAGTAAATAATCAGTTAAAACATGTCATAAAATTTCAAAAAAAAGCAACTCCATTTACACCCATACAAGGTACTATATTTTTTTCCATATCGAACCTCGAAGGTATCAATACCCTTATTTTACAA